CTGCTTTGTTGCTCTATTCTGGGCCTTAGCAGATTGGTTGGGACTCACCTGCAGCAGAGAAGGTGGCTCTTCTTAGTCTTCCTGGTCAGTAGCTGATTTCTTGTGGAAACATCCTCACAGGCATAACTCGCTGTCTGAGCATCTTTTGTACCAGTTAGGTTGACAGGCAAAATTAACTATCACAATCCCTAAACTGCATGGGACACAGTTTTGAAGGCAGACATACAGTGGGCATCTCATGGGGAAGAAACCAACTTTTGATTGAAAAGCAATGAAGGACAAACTATTTTATCATTTATAGTCAAAAACACTTTTCTTATGATAAACCATTAAGATTCTATGATGTATAATCTTCCAGTTGTAATACAAAGTTACTGAGTTGCATCAGTTGAATCAAAAACAAATAAATAACAGCTGTTATTATCACATCATAGTCTATTCTGTTCTAACTAGTACAGTAAATTGTCATCCTGGAATCTTATGCCAGCTTCCTAACTTTCCCACTCCTCTGGATTCGTTTCGCAGCAAAGTGGCTTAGTGAACTTCTTTTCTTTAAAATTCTAAAGGCATTTTTTTAATGTGTAGAAGAAAGACAGACATGGAGGGAGGGGCAGAAAGAGAGAGAGAGAAAGAGAGACCTTCCATACATCAGTTCGTTTTCCAATTGCACGTAACAGCCAGGACTGGAGAAGGCTAGAGCCAAAGTGCATAATTCTGAGTCAGCCGTGTGGCTATAGGGACTCAAGCCTCCCAGGGTGGGGATTAGCAAGAGTAGCTGGGAATCAAACTGGCATTCCAGCATGGGATGTGGACAACCCCACATGTTGACTTCAGCTGCTTTGCTGAATTCCCTTCCCCCAAGTGGTTGAGAATTGATGGCAAGCCTCTAATCGAGTAACTGGTTGATGGTGTGTGGGCTTCCCAGACAGTGTGTGCACTGGTTGAACTTTTTTGTATTTTTTATTTTTATTTTTTCGCTCATTCTGTTTTTTTTTTTTACAATCTGCATAGTTAATTAGGGCACAAAGATTCAAGGGCTACAGAAAAGTGGGTAAGACTATTATTTCCATTTTTTTCTGTATTGGGGGTAAAGGGGAGAAAAAGGGAGAAGCCCCACTCATCCTTCCACCCATCCCAGGTCCCCTATGTAGGGTATGCTCTGAGGGTCTTGCCCAAGTGGTTTTTATAGTTCAACAGTAATGAATTGCTGCCAGTCTCGCCATTCCAAGCATGAAGAAGTCGCTGCAGAATCCACTGATTGACATAGTCCATCTTAGAGTCTCTGTTTGCCCAGTTTTTCACTGCCAACATATGGCTGGGGTAGTTGGGTAGTTGATTGATTTGTTCTGTCCTCTGTTGTGGTGCCAGGTGTCCTCTGCAGGTTCTGATAGACTGTCATATCCTCCATGTGCACCTAGTTATACTCTCCACTGCTGCATCTGAGCCTCTGAGGAGGCATGGCTCTGGCACTTGCACTCCATGGTCAGACCATGGAACCTGCACTTCTCTTCATGGTTAGGGTTCTGAGTTCAGCAGTTTGATTGGGGAAATCTCCAAAGAAACTTTGTCTGAGGTGATCCCAGATCAGATTCTTGTGTGTACTTGAAGTACAGGGCCTGGCACAATCCATCGCCCCAATCAGCTGGTGGTTGTAATTGCTGGGTCAGTTCTGTTTCTAGCCCTGTTTTCCATTGGAACCAATGGGTGTTGCAGTCCAGCCTGACTCTGCCCAGCACACGCTTGGCCCTCACATAAACCAGTGGGAGTTGCAGCCTACTCAGAGCAACCCACAATAACCCCTACCAGGCCTGCCCCCTGTCCTGGTTCTGGTTCTTGCCAGTATGTACAGCAGACTAGTCCAGTCTGTCCCATATCCCATTCAGTTCTCATACATGTCAATGGGCATTGAAGCCTAGTTCAACCCAACCAACTCCACTGTCCAACCCACACATATGCTGGTGGATGCCTTTCTGTCCAGCTACCCCTGCCCCCGTCCTGGTTTTCATGCTCTCCAATAGGAGTGGTAACCCAAGAGGGAGGTGCCCACTATATAGATATATTATTATTTTATGTTGGAAAGTCAGATATATAGAGAGGAAGAGACACAGAGAGGAAGATCTTGTATCTGATGGTTCACTCCCCAAGTGACCACAATGGCTGGTGCTGTACCGATCCAGAGCCAGGAGCCAGGAGCTTCTTCCAGGTCTTCCATGCAGGTGCAGGGTCCAAAAGCTTTGGGCCATCCTTGACTGCTTTCCCAGGCCACAAGAAGGGAGTTGGATGGGAAGTGGAGCTGCTGGGATTAGAACTGGTGCCCATATGGGATCCTGACGCATTCAAGGCAAGGACTTTAGCTGCTATACTATTGCGCTGGGCCCACTGGTTGCGCTTATAAAAACATACACCAGGCAAAGGAATTTAGTGTGGCAATGGAGATGCCATCTGGGATGCTCTGACCAATGTACTTGTTTGGAAGACCTGGCTCCACTCCCAGTTTCATTTTCTTTCTGAAGTGCAGCCTGGAAAGCAGCAGATGGTAGTTCAAGTCATCAGTGTCCTTGCCTATCTCTCTGCCTTCTTCCTCCAGCCCCCACCACACTTACCATGGGAGACCTAGTTTGAGTTGCAGATTCCTGGTTTTGACATAGTTCAGTTCTGGATATTTCAGGAATTTGGAGAGTGAACCAAAGGAGAGAAAGATCTCTGTTTCTCTGCCTTTCAAATGAAACTCTTTTTAAAGATTTATCTATTTTTATTGGAAAGGTGGATACACAGAGAGGAGGAGAGAGAGGAATATCTTCTGTCTGATTGTTAACTCCCCAAGCAGTCGCTATGGCTGGAGCTGAGCCGATCCAAAGCCAGGAGCCTCTTCCGGGTCTCCCATGCAGGTGCAGAGTCCCAAAGCTTTGGGCCATCCTCGACTGCTTTCCCAGGCCACAGGCAGGGAATTGGATGGGAAGTGGGGCTGCTGGAATTAGAACTAGCGCCCATATAGGATCCTGGTGCATTCAAGGCGAGGTCTTTAGCTGCTACACTATCGCAACAGGGCCTAAATGAAACGTTGATGTCCCTTCATTATTGGAGTAATGCGGTTTCCCAAGCCTGTGCGCTTAGACCCTTGAGTACCCCTCCAAATCCTTGATAGCACTCTCCTCATCTCAGTTACTTAACATTCCAGCTGCTGCCAGCTGAGGCCTTTGCACACTGGGCTTGTCATGGGAATCCCTGCCTAAGTGACTGTCTCATAGAGGTCTTCCCAACCCTAGGTGTGTATAGGAACCCTTGGTACTCACTTCCATGCTAAGCCAGTCTGTCTCAGTTATGCTGATCACAGTTGACAGTTCTGCTAGGGTACTTCACAAAGTTGTTGGAAAATGGAATTAAAAGGGCCTGTGTGTGTTTCTCCACCTCTCTATGCTAGTCATCCTATACTTGGCCTCAAGCCCATATAACATCCTAAAGCAAATGCTTTTAAGATTAAATAAGTGGGAGCTGGTGCTGTAGTCTAGTAGGTTAAGTCTCTGTTTGTGGTAGCAGCATCCTGTATAATAGCTGGTTCATGCTTTGGTTACTCCACTTCCAAGACAGCTCTCTGCTTCTAGCATGGGAAAGCAGTGGAAGATGGCTTGGACCCCTGTTTTTTTTTTTTTAAAGATTTATTTTTATTATTTTTTTCATTGGAAAGGCGGATATACAGAGAGGAGAGACAGAGAGGAAGATCTTCCGTCCGATGATTCACTCCCCAAGTGAGCGCAACGGCCGATACTATGCCGATCCGAAGCCAGGAGCCTCTTCTGGGTCTCCCACGCGGGTGCAGGTTCCCAAGGCTTTGGGCTGTCCTCGACTGCTTTCCCAGGCCACAGGCAGGGAGCTGGAAGGGAAGTGGGGCTGTCGGGATTAGAACCGGCACCCATATGGGATCTCGGGCGTGCAAGGCGAGGACCTTTAACCACTTGCGCCACCGCGCTGGGCCCGGACCCCTGTATTTATGCGGGAGATCTGGAAGGCGCTCCTAACTCCTGGCATTGGAACAGCCTAGCTTTTGCTGTCACAGCCATTTGGGAAGTGAACCAACAGATGGAAGATCTCTTTCCGTCTCTCTCTGAGTAACTCTGCCTTTCAAATAAAGATAAAATAATTCTTTTAAAATAAAATTTTTTTCTCCTTGTGGATCTGCCTTTCCAATAAAAAAGAAATCTTAATAAAAATATGAGATTAAATAAGTGCATTAATAGTGTCAAAGTTATTTATTTATTTTTAACATGTAAAAAAATGAGAGTCTTTTTTTTTAGCAGCCCTGTGTCTGAGGCCTAGGGCCAAGTGCTTTTGGTAGGATGCGTATCTTATACAATAGTACTAGGAAGTAACAACTCCATCCTCACTTTAGATAAACATGTGGATATGTATGCCTGGCGTGGTTCAGTAAGTAACAGCCTGTATCTGTGAGGCCTGACTCCATAACCCATGGCCTTATCCTGCCTGGTTTAGATGGGTTCTGCTTCCAGTTTTCTGAGAAAGCATTGTCAGGTGCTTAAGGAACATGATGATAATAATGAAAGGCAGGTTTACCCAGTGTTCCCTATGGAGAAAACTATTGATCTCTTATGTTTGCACACTTTTCACTGTGGCAGCGTCTTACAAAAGTAAAGGCTCTTTACATCTTTACATGCACAGTCATTAAAGCTGTGCAAGAACCTGTTCATTTTGAAATTCTAACCTCAGAATATGAAACCTTGGAAGGCGTTTTCAATAGAGTTCCTTTTCTTTGACTACATTGTGTATGTGTGTGTGTGTGTGTGTGTGTGTGTGTGTGTGTGAATGTGAATTTAGACCTGTCAGAGGTGAAAATATCAATTTCCTTTTTCATGGAGAAATCCAATAACGGAATGAAAATGAGACTTCATTTGGATACCCGTTTTATCAATTAAATCTTGTCTTTGTTAACAATATCTCATAAGTTCTCATTTTAAAACATGTTTTTTAATCTCCTCTTGAAACAGCACAGAGCTGGCGAAGCCGTCACCTCAGCTGACAAAGAGATGCAGCAACCTGCAGTATGGCTTGAAGGCTTTACCTGACAAAAGCAAAGGGTGAGTTTCACTCAGCACATTTAATTTAAAATAAGTGTCTTATATTCAAAATGGCTTTGCAGCATCTTTACAATCATTTGCAAAATCAGATGTTTTTTATTCTCAAGGCCTGACCCGGAGCTCAGCAAAGTTCATGTGCATGAGGAGGCTGGACAAAGTGGAAACCAGAGAGCAGGGCTGCACTCTGACCGCGGCACTCGTAGTATCTGTCCTCCAATCCACAGTTATCTGTTCGTTTTTTTTTTTTTAAAGATTTATTTATTTTTATTGCCAAGTCAGATATACAGAGAGGAAGAGAGACATTTATCTCTTAACAATATTTATTTATTTGAAAGCATTGCACAGAGGTGAGATGGCAGTAGGAGGTGGAGAGAGAGATTCATCTTCCATGTGTTGGTTTGGTACCCACATGGCGGCAATGGCTATCTGAGCTAGGTTGTATCCTCCTCATCTCCCACATGAGTGCAGGGACCCAAGCATTTGGGCCATCCTCCTCTGTTTTCCTAGGTGCATGAGTAGGGTGTTGGATTGAAAGTGGAGCAGCCAGGACTCAGGGCAGTGCCCATATGGGATGCTGGCATCGTAGATGGCAGCTGAACACACTATGCCACAGAGTTGGCTCTTCAGTTCATGTTCATTAAAACATATTTAATGACAGCCATTTCATAGTGGTTTAGATGTTGCTTCGGGCCCCCAAATCCAATCCCAGCTGCTCGGCTTCCAACCCAGCTTCCTGCTAGTGTGCATCCTGGGAGGTAGCAAGGCATGGCCGAAGGACCTGCATCACTGCCACCTGTGTGTGAGACCAGGCTTGAGTTCTGGGCTTCACCTGGTGCAGTGCTGGCTGTTTCAGGTATTTGGGAAGTGAGCCAACAGGTATAAACACTTACTCTCTCCCTTTCCTTCTTCCTCTCCCTCCCTCACTCCCTGTTCTATTCCTCGCTCCCTCTCTCTCCCTTTCCCCTCCCCTCCCTCCTCTGTCTGTCTCTGCTCTCTCTCTCTAGTGCACTCTTGCTCTTTCCTTGTTTCTCCACCTTTCAAATCAATAAAAACACATACATTTTTAAAATAAAATCACGATGTGGTTTTCCTGGATGACCTTCTACAGGCTCTCAATCCTTTCAGAGACTTCCGATCATGTTCTGGACCCTGTCCTGAGACAGTGGACTTTTGTATGAAACTTTGCCTGTGATTTTTGAAGGCTCATGGATCCACCCCAGTTGCAGCTGTGGTTCTCCCCCACAGCCCTTGCCATGCTTAAAATCTTGTGTATTCCTCAGTCCACTACATTTTCTCTTGCCACCTGTGCAAGAGGAAATCTGAAATCTCCAGGCTTCTTGCGCTTGTGGCCTAACAGTACTGGGTGAAAGATGTGTGTGGGGAGGAGCGGAGAGGGGGAGGGGGACATGTGGTCGTAATTTCTTTCAGATGAAATAACAATTGGCCTGCTTGCTTTGGGGTTCTGATTCCTTGTACTTACACAGCCAAGGATTCAATGTATTTTAAAAGTGTTTGTAGTGATCTTGTTTAACCATATAAAATAGCAACTATTTGCACAGCAATTCCGTTGTAGTTGGTACTTTAAAGTGATTCCCTGAGAATGCTGAGGGACTATAATTGTCATTTTACTATGTGCTTACCTGACAGAGTGCTAAGATTGTATCAGGATAAGAGTTACATTCATTTCCTCATGACAGTCCTATGCAAGGAAGGCCCAGAGGTTTTGTGTGTGTATGTGCTCACGTAACACACACCCTGCACACTCTTGGTTACTGCTGGTGAGAGGAGGGCATTAAATGCTGTGATCCCTTCTCTGGGCACATGGGAGGCTGGGGGTGGGGAGAGGCAGAAAATAAATCAAGGCAAATAACTTTATCTAACCTGATTCCCAGCAGAACCCTGGGGTACATAGACTTAGGATATATATTTATTTGGAGGATGAGACAGTTTTCATTGAATGTCCCCTGCAGGCTGATCACAGACTAAAGCAGTGTTTATAGTTAGTGGAGCCAGGATCCAGAAGATCCCTGAAGAATGACAGGTGCGTTATGCATCTTCCTGTGTATGTAATGAAAAGGTTTCATGTCAGAATCTTCCTGTAGTATGAAAAACCCCCATGAACTTCACATAGCAGCCTAATTTACCGATCTGAGCCAAGTTCTTTGTGGGAGGACAGGACCATGGAATCCCTCTTTATGTAACAAGTCTGTGCTTTTTGTGTCTTGACATCAAGACTCCTTTAAAATGTTAGGAACATTTGATATTAAATTAGGACTCTGATTTGAATTCATCTGGTTTGACAATTCAATCCTATAGGTTACCTTGGAATGTGACAAAAAGATGGCCCTATTTAGATTTTCATTATCTTTTCCTTAAAATCCGACTGATGAACCCAAAGCATGGAAAGCAATTCCCGGTGATGTTTTCTGTTTGCTGCACCTGATCCGTCTCCTGCCCTTCACGACTCTGTGCTGCTGTGGTTCTGTCTTTCTCTTTGTGCAGGTGGTTGACCAATGTGAACATCGCCAGTAGGCTCTGAGCTCTTTAAAGCCGTCTTTTTCTTTCTCTCTCTCTCTCTTTTTAATGTTTTATTTCTTTGAGAGAGAGTGAGAGAGAAATCTTCTATGTACTGGTTCATTTCCCTTTGGCTGCAGTGACCTGAGCTGGGCCAGGCCAAAGCCAGGAGCCAAATACTTCATTCCTATTCTCCCATGTGTGTAGAGTGGCCCAAATACTTGGACCATCTTCCACTGCTTTACCAGTTCATTAGCAGGGAGCTGGATCTGAAGAGGAGCAGCCAGGACTCAAACTGGCACCCAAATGGATGGCTGCACCGCAGTGCCAGCCCCTTTAAGCCTGCATTAAATGACTCATGGACCATAGAAAATACTAGGACTCCCACATTCCTGTAGAACAGCTGGAGCCGACACTCTTGCAAATGTTCCTCCCTTTATGTGTTAAATTCACTAGAATCTGAGGTAGACTGATGGTTGCTCACACATGACAGATGGCATCTCATGTTGTTTTGACCAAGCTGACAGTTTTGTTTGCTATATGGATGTTACGAGGCTCTTTCTGAAGCTTTCCCCAAGGAACTCGAATTCCAAACATTTTTGGACAAAGAGCACAAGGAAAATAAGACTGAATAAACTTGGTTCTGTTCCACTCTAGCCCTTGGAAAGTTGGTGATCTCCTTAATCGATGTGCCTATCAGTCTGAAAAGCTTGTCTTTCCCTCTCTTCACCTCTCACTGACATGGACCATCTTTACATCACAAAGTGAGTGTGGTCTTCAGTGTAAGGATGATCAATAGTCTGCCTATGGTCACGAAACTCATGAATCAGCACGGGGGCTGGTTCTCTAATGATGGAAGGTATCTTCTCCATGGCCGAGAGTTTGACAGCTCCTTTATGTGTGTGAGCAGCGTGGTCAGCAGCACCGTGCTAATGAGAATGCCCACGTGTATGCCCCTGTGTTTGTTCTCTCATTGCTCTTCTGTTGTTTTGTATGTGAAGCCTCCAGCTCATCTCGACTATTCTTTAGGGGGAATGTCTTTCCATTAAGCACACAATTTCCAGCTTGCTTGCATAATTAGCTAGCACCAGTAGGTATTCTCTTCTGCAGAGGTCTAGGGAGAGCAGCCGTGAATTGCCCATTGTTATGAAAGTTATTTTGCACACAGGAGACTAATTTTTTTGGGTTGTTTTGTCTATTGTCAGGAATTGTGCATTCTGTAACTAGTGCTATTATAGACTTACAAGGGACAAAAGGGAAAGCCATTCAGTGGATGGTGATAAAAAAGTAATTTCATTTTCTTGGAAATAATTATTTAGCCCTATTTTTGTCATGGTCTGTTAAAGACTTGGAATTTTCTCTTTCTTCAGTCAGTTTGCCCCTTTCTGGTTGCTAAAATACAATTTAGGGAGACGGAATTATACAGGGAGGGAAATGGTTTTCTTTTTTTCCTCTGGCCTTGGCTATGTTTATTTTTGAGTGAAAGTAAACTGAACAGCTGCCATTAGGAGAACCAGTTGCATAGGGAGTTATATCATAATTCTTCATCTTCAGTCTTTTGAAAAAGATTTATTTGAAAAGCAGAGTTAAGAGAGGGAAGGAAACAGAGAGAAAAAGATCCTCTGTCTGATGGTTCATTCCCTAGATGACTTCAATAGCTCAGACTGAACTAGGCTGAAGCCAGGACTTCATTCAAACATCCCATTTGGATGGGCCATCTTCTGCTGCGTTAGCAATGATGTGGATAACATAGAGCAGCTGAGACTTGAACTGGCATTTATATGGGATGCAATCATTGCAAACAGTGGCTTAACCCATGGTGCCACAATGCTGCCTCCTACTTAACGAGCTTTGAAGAGGATGGCACAATGTTTTGTTCACAGTTCTATGCCTTGGTACCTATCACAGGAAAGTAGTCACTCACCTTCACTTCCTCAGCAAATCTTTAGTGAGTGACTACTTTCCTGTGATAGGAAGTGAAGAAATGAATGTGTTTCTTATAGCTTCGAAGTGTTTTCTATGCCATCTTTAGTTTTGGGTATTAAAAATCATGCATAAAAATATGAACTGCTCTGTTTTTGAAACCAATTTCAGCTTCTTTGACTTCTTTGAGGGAAGATATTTCTCACCTCATCCTGTTCCCCTGAGTGTTTTCTCTGGGTTTCTGTAGACCAAACCTTTTCATTAAGTTATCTTCAGGATCAAATCTTATACTGTACTAAGCATTTTACATGGCCATGTTATCACTGTTGATTTCTTCATTTTTCATACGATAACAAACTTATTCTTTGTAATCTTTTCTGTTTACATTTTTAGATAAGTAGCCATATAGGTTTCTAAGCTGTCCATCTTGTCCTCATTGCTATAGACAAATGAAGTGATTTTTCTTAGAGTAGAAACTTCAGAGGTGCTGACCCAGGAAATAAACTCATTTTCTCCTCTTGCATTTTTCTGCCTCTGTTGCTGAACTTTCTCTTTCTTATGTT